TGGATGAGCGAATCTGGTCTCCATGGCAACGCGTGTCGGATGAGCGTATCTGGTCTCTATGGCAACACGTGTCGGATGAGCAAATCTGGTCTTCATAGCAACACGTGTCGGATGAGCGTATCTGGTCTCCATGGCAACGCGGTTCGTGTTTATAATGGTGAACAATTTTGATAATGCCATGCAATTTTATGCAGCCTTACGAAATCCATCAAACTTTGAAAACTTTTATAGTGAACACTTGCATGGACTATAAGTGGAATTTCATCTATTGCATTGATCAGAGGAACAAATAATTGGTGACAGGACTTCATTTAGCTGAAGCAACTTTGGAGACGCAAATGAACTTAAGAGTCAAACACTTATTCCATTGTGCTGCTGAACTTTACGAATGAACCAGTTGAATGTAGAACTGAGGGACCAACATTTTGGTGTTATTAGCATTCCTCGATATCGAACTTGTGAAGAGAAGCACAAATATTGTTAAGTGTTCTTATACAGGAGGATTTGTAGGAATCACATTACTATGATGTATCAAAGAGAGTAGAAAGAATGAGAAAACTGAAGTGGCTTTCTCGCATTAGGTGTAATCACAGATGAGCGATTAACTCATCTGAACTCGAAATGTGGAATTGATTTGTGCCGTTCTGTAATAACAGATAATAGCAAATGGACGCTTTGCCTTTTTTTCTTCTAATGACTTAAAGTCATTTTGAAATCTATGGACAATCATGCATGATCATGTTTTTACAAGATCAGGTTATTTTGTAAAAACAATTTTGTTTTGTATAAATTCTTCTATATTGGCAGTTGAAATGAGCGTTTCCGCTTTGGCATATAAATTCAGAGTATTGTTATGTTTTTTTCCAGGGTTGTACTTATGTGTTGTTGGCAACTCTAATTTTGCTAACCAAACCAGTTTAAAATGAACCGAGATATCCCATTTGTTGTTACCAAAGAGGACGAATACCAAACTTGATGGTTATACCAGAATAACCTTTAACTTTTGCCATATTTAAAGGTGATATTGAAAAGGGAAAAAAAAAAAAAATGTTTTTGTTTATATCCAGTTTTTTTGGTTCTATAGTGATTATTACTTAAGTGTGCAACAGGCTGAACATGTTGACCAGAGTCACCAGACTGATGTGGAACAACAATTATATTCATGTATGATGTATTTTGTTCTGGTATACTGAGAGTTGAAGTCCAGTTTATTGTATTGATATTTGAAATTTACGATCAATGATATCAGGTAAGATGCATATGCTGCATGCTTTGTCTCATTTTGCAAGTGCTTTTATGTATGCATTCGCCACAACCTAAGAATTGTTTTGTGAGGCTGAAACAAAGGTAATTTATGTATGTTTATAAATGACTGTGCCATGCTAATGTGCTACTTTAGAAATTATGATGATTTCTTTCAGGTTTTCCTATTCTGTGTTTTCCATGCTTCACATTTTTAATGATGTTGTTTTTTTTAGATTTAGTATTTTACATTTCTTGTTATCTTTATTGTTGTTTTACTGACAGGTTCCTGTTTTGAAGTTCCTAGTGTTGAACGAGACGTTCAAAGTTAAGGAGGGGGCAGTGTTACAGAAATTGGATGCTCGAACGATTAAAAAGGGAGGTCTGAATTGGAGACTAGCTTTAACTTGGGCGAGGTTTGGGAGTGTGTAAAAGTTTGGAGCTGAGGCCGAGGCAGTTGTGAGACAGACAGATTTTGGGAGAACTTAGAGTTAGGAGCTGGGAGGATGTTGCTCGGGAGCATCATCAATTAGCCAAAGGGCAAGAACTAGTATAAATGTGAGTTAAGTGTAACTGTTATTAGGTTGTGGCAAGTAAATATATTGGATATCACCACCATGTTTCTTGTGAATAAACATCAGTTACTTAAAAATCATTGTTCGATAACTCCTTTCTCTCAGAGACTGTAATTGTATGTGTGTATGACTTGGCCCTGGCCTTGCGTGGGCATTAATTTAGGCTAGACTAAACATCTAGAGAGTCTACCCCTGCAGTCTTTAAATTCCCCATTTTCTTATAAAAGAATTCCCAAAAGTTATTACAATATATATATATATTGCTAATTTATGATTCATTGTCAGTAAAATACTTAATGTACTTTATATTTTTGTTATCGAAAAACTATGAAACTTACACGAATGCAGAAAAAAATGAAATAAAATCAAATCAAAAACTTTATCTTCTTTGGCATCAATAACCAATTAAGAAAATGAAAGTTTGTGAAATTTTCTGTCCAGAGAGAAAAAAAGGAGTGGACCTCTTGAATACGTCACAATTTGATTGATCGCAACTTCAGAAAATTCATAGCTCTCATTTTTTTATCTTTAATGTGGATTTTGCTCAAACTTTCCCTGTTCCTCTCATTTTTTTGGTTCTATCAAAATAATCTTAAAATCAGGGTGGACTTCCTTTTTAAAAAGTCAGGAAAACCCCTCTCCTTCATAATATTAATAATAATAATGATAATAATAATTCTTGGAAAACCTGGGTGGAGAGTGTCAAATGTGGATTAATGTCTTTCCAAAGGTCGTTGGTGCGTGGTTGGGATTCGAACCGTCAACCCTTTGATTGAGAGTAAAGTGAGTTAACCACTATACCTGTCGTATAGTGTTTGTTGAACTGAACGAAGGCTTGACTTTCCTATAATGTTTTTTATTCAAGATGGCAGCAAACAGATTTTCTCTTAAATCATAGTTTATGATACGTTTCCAAATTTAACGAAGTTTTTCCAAAACTTCAGGTTAAAATAAGATTTGGACAAAATCAGAACAAGAAAGTGAGCAGATGAGGGGAAAGGAAGAAGTGGGGTGGGAGGAGGGAGAGATAAAAAGAAAGAAGAGAAATCCGGTAGGCGTTATTGAAAGACAAAATAATTTTATTTTTAGGAAGTTTTCAATTTCACGACAGGACGATTTTTTTTAAATCCTCAAATTTAAGAAAGTTTAAAACGATTAAAACAAGTTTTTATACTTTTCAAATGAAATACTATAAATTTAAGCCAAAAATAATGAAAATATATTTAATATATCAATACCTTCACCCACACACGTGATGATCCTTTGCTATGGCCACGCCCCTCCGTTAAAAACTCAGAGCTTGGAACTTTGGGATGACGGGGGATTCACTACTCATGCCGGAGGATGAATATATGAGAGAGAGAGAGAGAGAGAGACAGAGAGAGAGAGGGGGAAAAGGGGGGGGGGGGGGGAGGGGGCTTGGCTTCCACGAGGCAGATGGGTTCCCGAAAAGCTATCGGCCAGTTTAATCCCATCCGCCCCCAATTCAGAAAAAGGGATCATCCCAGAATTGTCTAGACTTTTATTGTACGGAAATAATTAAGTTCATGTACGTCATTTCTGAGTTGTCCCCCTTCAAGCATAAATTGTTTCGTGCCATGGGAAATTTAAGGTCTAAAAGTTATGTTCTCATTTTGTTGAAGCCCTTTTCACTAGGTGTTTTGATGAATCAAACCAAACATACCTCAAGTGCTCAACCCTGAAAAAAAAACAAAAAACGAAACAGTACAAAACAAAGCGAAATAACGGATAAAAGTGCACCATTTGTTGATTAAAGTATTGCTCTTGCATTGGTGTGTGTAGTGTCGATCTTAATATTGAAGGGCGCATGTCACAGTTAAGCTGAGGAACGGGCACCATCTTATTCAGTACTGGATTAAATGCATCAATTTGTGGATCGAGCCTAGGGTGTAAGAGTGTTTTTTTATTTTATTTTTTTATTTGTGTGTTTTATTAAAACAAACCATGAGAATCATATATTTACAAAATTCGATGAAGTGAAAACAACCTAAAATACAAATTCTAAATACAAAAATAAATGAAAGAATAAAAAAAAAAAGGTGTACGAGTGTTTATAGTTCACCTTCCCTTTTCCATTCTCACTTTTCTCTCCCTTTATCTCCTTCACCTTTTTTTGCCAACAGCGGATATGGAAACATGCAACATAATGTATAATGTATAATGTATACCTCAAGAGGTATTGTTCATTTTGTACTCTACTCTTATTTTATTTTATCATATATTAATTATGGTATGTTGGCATGGGGCAAATCATCCAAAACTCAAATCCACAGGCTTTTTGTTGTGCAGAAGCGGGTTATTAGAATAATTTGTAAAGCAAATTATCGTGCACATACAAATCTACTTTATTATGAAAACAGTATTCTAAAACTAGAAGATCTCTATTCAATGCAACTTGGAATGCTCATGTTTAGCATTCACTCTGGAGACCTCCCTCCTGCCCTTGCTCAAATCTTTAGAAGAAATAACCAAATTCACAGCTATAATACTAGACAGGCTTCTGCTCTCCATTTACCATATGCAAGGACAACCTTCACTTTGAATACACTAATGTCCACTGGCCCCAGGTTCTGGAATTCACTTGATACTACCATAACAAATGCTTCAAGTATCTCAGTTTTTGTTATCAAGCTTTATTGTTAGTGTACTGTAGCATATTTAACTCTACTCTTGATCTTTTTTTCGTTAATTCTTGACTTTGACATATAACCCCCTTTATCCCTTTTCTTTTTTCTTCTTCTTTCTCATCTGTACATACTACATATACCATATATTCCTACTTGACCTCTGCACTCAGAGAGCAATAACTCATTGATGTCTCGACTTGGTGTCGGCTTGGGTTTGTCCATATTAGATCATATTAGATGCAACGTTGGGTAGTTGTTCTCTGAGAGTATTTTGTAAATAGTTTTATATATTCCATATTTGTTGTTGTATTCATAAATAAGTTATCTTTGTCACATCATATGAGGGGGCCTTAACTTAACAAGCTGTGCTTCAACCAAGGTCTCCTCGTCTTCCTTTGTTCTACATTGTACTGTTATGATTATACTCTATTATATTTTGTCACATGTGTTTTCTGGAAGACAAATAAACGTGATACTTGATACTTGATACTTGATACTTTAATCCGGTTACGTCTGTTACGTCTCTACATTACGTAGAAATGAACACAGATGGTGTTCCATAGAATTGCGGAAGCTAAAATATTGTATGAACTTCTTTCAAAGTGCGATTGATTGTTCAGCCACGTAGTCGAAGGACAGTCATACACGTAAACCAAGTGATTTTCAGGTGAGTGTTCGTCTTAATTGGAAGTTCATGGGCATGGTTATTTATTTGAGAGTGATATGTGAACATGTGATAGGATGTGATAATCAATGGACGATCCAATTGTGGAATATATATGTCCAGGCTCGGCGCTGCTGCTACTAACGCACTGCTACAGTACGGTACCGTACCGGTACACTGATGCACTGCCATACTGAGCCGTGAGTATCCCGGGCGCGCGTTTCCGTTTTACACCCTGCCCTAGGCTTTTCTCCAATAAAATTTTACAAACCGACTGGTATTCGGAGTCTAGTCGTCCACATCTTGCCTCGGCGCTCTGCACACCACCAGAACTCTGAAAACGTCACGTAGCGCTAGCTAACTCTCTATACTAGTTGATCTTCCTAGTCGTATCATTTATTTTTATCCATTAATACGCAATACTCTAAGAGCGTGAGGATGCGTGATCAGCTCGCAAAATTTAGCCCAGCGATAACAAAACAATAATATATCGGGAAAACCGTCTTGAACAAGAAGACCCTCGCATCCCCAATTGAAATTGTATAAGCTTTGGCTTCGCTATTCTTGACGTCGATATAAACAAACTTAGACTTCGGATACAGCATGTTTCGTGTAATTTCTTGCCGAAAAGCCTAGGGCAGGGTGTAAAACGGAAACGCGCATCCCGGGCCGCGCACTCATTGCACTGAGCTGACTGTAGCTGTAGTCTATGGTGTGTGACCGCGTAGACTAGTTCGCGTTCACTAGATATATCTCAAAAAAATTGGTAAGATTTCGAAAATCTGTTATTACCAATGGAAAGAAGAACATGAAAATCCTCAGAGTCAGAATTTTCTCTGGAATTGGATTTGAAATTATGAAAATATTTACAAAAGATCAGCAAATTTTGCAGTCATTTGCATCCGTTCCGAAAAATAAAGGTCTCGCAATCTTCATTTTGAGAGCAGATATCCTCCAAATTGTAAGTAAAAAGTGATACCAACTGATCGTATGATATCTTGTCTTGCAAATTATGAAATTACCTTATTTTTGATGGATCTCATTTTTGTATAAAAATCAGCTGTAAACTCCTGTGCGCGGAGTAAGGTCTCGTTGTATTAATTTCATGACTTATTTAGTTGCAGCGATCGGACATCAAATTTTTGGATCGCGATCTCTTGCGTTTCTTGCGCAGAGACCAGACTTCATCAGGTACACCGTACGCTATTTGTCTGGAAAGTGTGCGTTGTGTGCGGAAATGCATGCCATGTGAATGAAAGGTGAACATTATAGGACAGAAACATTTGATTAGGGTGTCTGATCGCGCACCCGATGTTGTGTGCTAAAACCCTTCCCATAGAGATTGTATGCATCCCTATGTGGTCTACGTGCATTGCGCGACCATGCAAAATTGGTCAATGATTTTATGAAAAAATTTGAAATTCAAACCTTTATAACAAATGATCCTGAAGGTGAAACTCAACAAATGAGGTGTCATATGAAAGAGCAGGTTTTTCTCCATATTCCCCATAGGGGGCCACCCCCAGAATTCTAAAAATATCTTGGTCAAAACAGCGATTGAAATGTTGTTTGTATCCTAGCTCCAAAATTTGCCACTTTCCTGAGCTGCGCCCCCCGCGGCTTAAGTAGGGCTAGACGTGAGGATAATATCCAGGTGCTTTTTTTTTCGCTAGCCCCAAAGGATCATTTGGCCTAACAGTTTGAAAATACCCTTCCCACATTTTTGAAGCATGTACCTGAAAACCCCAGAAAATAAGGAAAATAGCAGTATTTTAAAGTCCTGTAAAAAGTCAGTAGATACTGATATTTTGTAATCAACTGAAAAGAAAATGGATGTTGGGAGAGTTGTGCAGTAAGACCACTATACTGGTGTGTTTCTACAGAAGCATGTTCCTGAAAACCCCAGAAAATAAGGAAAATAGCAATATTTTAAAGTCCTGTAAAAAGTCAGTAGATACTGATATTTTGTAATCAACTGAAAAGAAAATGGATGTTGGGAGAGTTGTGCAGTAAGACCACTATACTGTGCATGTTCTAGTTGATGGACATGAATATATTATGAACTCTGTAGAAAAATAAGAGGAGATATATCTAAAGTTCTGAAGAGAGGAAGGTGCAAGAGAGAGAGAGAGAGAGAAAGAGAGAGATACTTCAGATGGAGAGAGACAGACTGACAGAAAGAGAGAGAGAGAGTGAGAGAGAGTTGGAGATTGTAAATTGCAATTAGTATTTAATGTTAGATTTCTTTACTGTTTTGAAAAAGTTTTACTCCCTGCCTGTTACTTAGACCTAGGAATTTTGAGGTAAAATTTTCTGCAAAATTATATTTTCTGCATTCTATCCAGAAATATGAAAAAATACACTACTTAGGGAGTGCATATTATTTTTGACTGTCTGCCAGCTTAATGAGGACATGGATACCAGATACAAATCTCATATTACAATTGACATACATTACATGTAGAGCTCAATGAAAACGTGTTGCGCAGGTTTGCCATGAGTGCATGCCAAACGGGAGAGTTGTCCATGATTATGTCATAATCCACAGACTAAAATTGCCAATTTGAGATTCACATAGATTTAGTTATCCCATTATACAACCATTCGTAAAGTTTCTCTTATTACTTGTCTGATTTATGTCAAATGTTTGCTTTTCTGTTTCTCTTATTTTTCTGTCCATACAAATGAACTTATAATATACAAAAGTTTGATTGCCCTTTAAACACTGTATTAAGCGTAAATACTTGGTGATTTACATATTTTAAAGATGAAGTTGAGTTCTGGTCATGCGATTGCATTGTGAAAGAAACGGTGTGGAATCGACCAGAAAAGGTGATCATCTAGCATATAAGAATTTGTGTGTATTGCAAGGTTCTGGAATCATCAAAATGATAAGAAATTTGGCCAAGTCCTGGTAAAGTTACAAACACTGTACACAGAAAGATGTATATGGGACTACACGAACACGTGGCGTAAAAATCCTACCCCCGAGTTTTACGATGTTACATGACATATTTAGAATATAAAGGCATTTGAAGAGCCATACTTTTCAGGGAACATGTCTTATCTGATGTTCTTCCACACTTGCATAATAAGAATGATAACGCTCACAAATTATTTTTCACCTCTTCCCAGAACTCAACCTTCTCTTTAAGAAGGAAGTCGTCATTGGTTATCTTGAGGTCTCAATACCCTGTGAAATGTGAAAGCTCTCAGCTACAAGGAACTTAAATGAATGAAAGATGTTAGAATGTACAATGTACATGTAGTCAGGTGTCTGGTACATGAACTTGCATTTAGTCTGGGACTCTGGGTGACTGAAACTTTATGCACACGTTATAACCGTCCTTATAAATGAGAGAGGGGAAGAAAAATAAAGAGCTGCAACAAAATAAAAACGTTTAACACATTGTACATGCATAGCTGCCAACTGTTACGAAAATTTTTTTTGTAATTGTTACGAATTTCCCAACTCCCACCCTCATTACGAAATTAATAAATACCCCTTCTAAGTTCTATTATTACGATTTAAAAAAAAATTTATTATTTTATAATTAAATTTTGTGTGTGTGTGTGTATGTGCCATTTTCAATGACAAATGCCCATTCAGTCCTGTAAAGTATCCTACAAGCATCTCACATTGGCAATTTGGGGATGTTCATTGGTTCATCGAACATACCAGTAATGACCAAATCATGCATATTCAACCAATGATCCATACAAAAAAATTCTTCCTGTATACTTTAGGAACTGTAAGAGCCAACTGTTGAGAATAAAGAATATAGTTTTTGAACTCCAGAGATTGGCAGGTCTGACATATACATGTATACATGTACATGTATGTGCGCACATGATATTCAGTTTGACTTGAAGATAAATTTGAGTTCTGGTCATGCGATTGCATTGTGAAAGAAACAATGTGGATCATCATGATCATCTAGCATATACATGTAAGTATTGGTGTGTACTGCAAGGTTCTGGAATCATCAAAATGATAAGACATTTGGCCCAGTCTTGGTAAAGTTACAAGCATTGTACACAGAAAGATGTTTATGTGACTACACAAACATGTGGCGAAAAAAATCTGTCCCAATATTTATGCTGTTACCTGCCATATTTAGAATATTGAGGCATTTGAAGAGTCATACTTTTCAGGGAACATTGTTAATCTGATGTACTGTACTTCCACACTTGCATAATAACAATGATAACGCTCACAAATTATTTGTTCACCTCTTCCCAGAACTCAACCTTTTCTTTAAATGTTACTCATTGAAAATTTCAAAATGTTGGCAGCTACATGTATGCATATGTATAAGAGAGAAGTGAAAAGGTATTGGGGTGTACAAAAGGATGCCTTACGTTTTTATACAGCAATCCAACCTTTTTAATAATTCCATTTAATGAAAGCAGAAAATAAGAGAAACAAATTGGCAAAAGTTTGAAATAAATAGTACCAATAATGAGAAAGTTATGAGTGTTTGAAATATGAGATCCCTAAGACCTTGCCAATCTCAAAACAGCAAACTGGATTGTGACTTGGTGGTTGCAGGTACAGTAACTCTCCTGTTTGTTGTGTACTTACAATGTACATTGTAAATATTATAATATCTTCATTTCTCTACCAAGTCTCCCCAGGGGCACTTCTCAAATTATATTTTGGATGGCATTTTATTAAATTGCGAGTTTCCTGTCACCTTTTGTTCAGCTGATAATGAGAAAACTATTTCATTATTCATTATTTGCAAGATTTCTTTATGTTAACCTTTTTACAAACACTTAATTTACTTTTGTTGGTTCAACTTATTTCCAGTTTATTAACTTTATTGCATGTATGAACATCTCACTACTACACATTGTAGTATATCTTGGTAATTTTCATTAAAACATGTACAAACATCAAATATTGTAAAAATAAACTACACTTACACTACATGCTATAAATCCAAAAAGAACAGTACTTTTAATAGCTAGCGTAATTAACGGTGTTTAAACCGCCCTCG